AAATCAAAGTCTACACTGAAGTTGGGGCGGCAATAATGGCGGCTCTCGTTGCGTATAACGACGGTCGCTACAGTGACGCAGTGGAAACACTCCATCCTCTGCGATACGATGTCTTGAACATCGGTGGCAGCGATGCACAGGCGAGTTGTGTGTGTGTGTGTGTGTGTGTGTGTGTGTGTGCGTGCGTGCGTGCGTGCGTGCGTGGGTGCGTGCGTGCGTGCGTGCGTGCGTGCGTGTATATCTGTGTGTGTGCACGCGCGTGTATGTGTGAGCTGACTTGATGTGAGCGTGTGTGGGCGCGTGTGTGTGCGTGCGTGGGGGGGGGGGAAGAGGGACTGCGGCGGAAACATCAGCGAATTAAGACTATCTACCTATCAGTAAGTGTGCCTTTTTTCGTTTGATCGAAGCAAAATCTCAATAGATTGACACAGTTACTGCAGAATCAAAATTATCAACAATATAAAAAAATCGTAACAAATGTAGATGACAATGAAACTAACAAACTCGGTGCTTTATTTTAGCGGGACCTGTTTAATCTATTCCTCATACATGCTGCACAGAAGTCGAACTTGCGCCAGCATCACAACTTGGCGAGGTTCGTGTAGAGGATGACCTTCTATATCTTTTACTACTGTAACAATTGTTACTATCTAGGCCTACCTTTGCTTTTTCATCTTATCATCACATCGCAATGACAATGTCATTAGATTGTGAAAGTATAAAATGCGTTTTGTTTCCATATTTCTTTCGCCTTCCTTCAAATGCTCGTCCTTCCCATAAACCTACACCTACTTGGTCTTCTCTATTCTCGGACGCATTGCTTCGATTTTCAGCCCTTATTGATATTCTGCGTCCTCTCACAAATAAAACAACTCTATTTCAACATCATATGAGGCAGATACGCGTCATACAATGCAATATCCACGCGCGTTGGGAAAGAGAATTTTGCGAAGTAATAACGTAATTTTGATTCGAAACTGAGGCACTCTGACCTGCAACGTAAAATATTATTCTTGTTTGCAGGTCTTTGTTGATGGAGCGTAATGCGTTAAAGCAAGAATCGCCGATGTTGGATCGTCTACTGGAAAACATGATGGATCACCATGTCAAATGATGACAGGTCACCCTAGACATAACCCCAATCCTAACTCCGCCCTAACACTAACCATAACTCTGAACTTGACCCTAATAATAACTCTGACCCTGACCTTAAACCAACCGCTAAATCTGATAATGACTCTAACACTAACCCTGACTCTGAACCTGATCTTGACCCTGGCCCTAACCCTAACTCTAACCCTATCCATAAACATAACTAGAACCCGTAAACTAACACTAATTATAACCATGGCCTGAAACATGAACCTAACCCTAACCCTAACCCTAACCCTAAGCATGACCTTTAACCATAAGGCTAACCCTAACCCAACCCTGTCTCTAACCCAAACCCTACCTATTACCCTAACTCTACTTTTAACGCCAATTCTAGCCCGAACCCTAGCCCTAACCCTAACCATAATCATAATAACCATAACAATAACCCTAATCCCATCCCTACTAATACTCGTCCTAACTCTAACCCTAACTCTAGGTCTAACTCTAACATAACCTAAACCTTAACCACTCTAACCACATATTCCCTAGCATTGAAAGCTCTAGATATACAAAAGAATAGATTGTTATCACATTTACTAATACGCCTCACTGCCATACCAAATGCTTGTTTATATTAACTCTTGAAGTAATGTTTGATTTATAACACACAGTGATATATATTCGTCAAATCAATGCTAAATCGTTCACTTAGATTAAACGACAGTATTACGCTGTTTTAATCGTTGTCTATCGCTATCGTGTTATGACGAGGCGTGAGTCTTAGCGAAACTTCTTATGCTTACACAAGTTGTACATAGATAAATTGGCTTGTAATACTAAAAACAAGAGAAAAATATATATAATTAGTTTTAACCCCTGATTTTGATCGTTTTGAAGTTATTCAACATCACGTTTTTATAATTATATCTTTAATCTCACTCACTAATTGATCTACGATACTCGCTAAGAGAATTATACACATTTAATTTTCCAGAGATATTTCGTTGAAACTGACAATTTATAGTAGGCCTACATTCTAATAAAATGCACGTTTGTTATTGTTATTAGTTTGTTATTAGTTGTATTATATTAGCTAGTTTACTTGGTTATAATATATCGGTTTTTTATTAGTTATTAACGTACGCACGCTTTACGCTAATAAACAGGTTTTTTAATTTTGACATTTTAACCGGCTGCATTTTGGTACGAAAACGTACATATCGAATTCAGACACGCGTGCTCCGTTTCTATCTCGATCGTTATAAGGCTCAGAACTCAAATGCATCGCGCTCACTGGATTTCTTTGCAAGCATACATTACGATTGTTTCACAGATAATTGTTAACTACGGCAAGCAATTATAATCTTATGCAAGAAGATCTATCTATCTATCTATCGTTATCTCCGTCTCCCCCCCCCATCTCTTTCTTTCTCTCTCTCTCTCTCCATCACTGTCTGTTTCTCTTCTCTTTCCCCCTCTCTTCCGTTATCGCAGTCTCTCTCTCTCTCTCTCTCTCTCTCTCTCTCTCTCTCTCTTTCTCCCTCTCCCTTTCTGTCTGTTTGTCTGTCTGTTTCTTTTCTCTTTCCCCCTCTATTTCGTTATTGCATTCTCTCTCTCACGCTCTCTCTCTCTCGCTCTCTCTTTCTCTCTCTCTCTCTCTCTGTCTGTCTGTCTGTCTGTCTGTCTGTCTGTCTGTCTGTCTGTCTCTCTCTCTCTCTCTCTCTCTCTCTGTCTGTCTGTCTGTCTGTCTGTCTGTCTGTCTGTCTGTCTGTCTGTCTGTCTGTCTGTCTGTCTGTCTGTCTGTCTGTCTGTATGTATGTTTGTCTGCATGTATGTCTGTATGTCTTGCGCTCGAGTTCTCTTTGTCTCTCTCGCTCGCTTTTCAGCCCCCTCGCCTTTGTCTCTGTTAATATTAAACAGCCCAGACTGGTTGAATTGCTGCTTTAGTCTTTTGCTGCCTTGATGTAAAATCACATCATTTGCACGCAAAATTGTATCTCGTTATTAGCTTGCGTTTTGTTTCTGCTAGTTTAAAAACAAACTCATCGGGGAAGAGTATATGGATGTGTTTAATGTTTTTCATAACGATGTTTTGTTTTAAAAATGTATGTGACCCAAACCAAATTTTCAGGAGTGCGTCTTTACTGAGTAAGACACGTTCGCTCAGAATCGGTTCATTGTTAGAGCGAAACGACAGCCATTGGTTCATGGTTATCGTTTTGTTGACACATCAATACATGGTTAACATAGACCTGCTGCGCGCGCGCAAACAGAAAGTATATAAAACGACAAGCATGAAGCTGCCTGGAGAGTCCCTAGCTCGAGTCGCCCTTGTCAATTTAAGTAACATCTGGATTGTAGGTTGAACGTCGTTCAGGAAAAGCAGCATAACTCACAGAAACAAAGACAATTTTAGATTTATGCGCATCGACGATGGATGTGACCTTGTTTTTAAATGAGAGCAACCTGACAGGTAGTCACCGGGACAACGCTGATGAGGATTACCCTGACGACGCGAATATCACTACTTTAAAAACACATACGAAATCACAATTCGTGCCATTGTTTCTATTACTTTTGCTACTTACAGCGGTGGGCAATGGTCTCGTGATTATCGTCATAGCAAAGATTCGCCGGTTACAAACAGCAGCAAACATGACGATCGCTAATCTGGCCTGTTGTGACTTCATAATCGCCTGTACGCTCTGGACAGGAGTCCTACGCCGTGACACGATGCTGGGGTGCGCCCTATTTTCAGGGCATGCAATGACGGTTTTTCATCTGTCGTTGCTGGGAAATGCGCTCTGCACGATCAACAGATACGTGGCTATCGTGCATCCGTTACACTACAACCAGCTGATGACTCTTGCTCGCACTGGTGTTCTCATAACTTTATCGACGATGTACGCGATTGTAATTGGGATCGCAGCAGCCATCCAAGTATCATATCAATGGGAGCCGCCTTCAACCTGCATCGTTGACCTAGAAATTTCGGCTGGATTCGCGTATGTCGTGGCTGGTCTTTATATTATTATATTGATCTTCATGGTTTACTGCTACGTCGTCATCGGAAAGATTGCCTGGGACCACACGCGTAGGATGACCGCAGCATCAGATGCGGAGAGAGAAGACATGTCCGCTTTTCACGCTACGCTAAAGATAACCAAGATCATACTTACAGTTGTTGGTGCTTCGTTTACTCTGCTTACACCGCACGTTCTTCACTTCATCTTAATCCACAGCTTCCCGTTTCAACTTCGAGCACTTCGTGACATTCGAACGCTGGCGCTGGCAGCTAATTCACTAGTAAATCCAATGATTTACTTCTACAAGTACAAAGACTTTCGTCTGGCAGTGAGGGAACTATTTGGATGTCATACATCGTCTGTCAACCCATCTCAGCCGAACGTGGAGCAGGATCCGTAGTTCACATAAATACTGTTAATGTATCGGATGCAGTGCTTGAGGTTATGTATTTATAAGTTATTACTATACTTTACTTTCACTTATACATCACATATTTAATTATTTAAACGCTTACATATACTCATAGCTTAATGTTAAAGATTACACGACGTGGTTCCTGTCGGATTGCTGATAATCTCTGTCTATAAAGATTTTCTCACGACGAGGAGAAACTGTGCTAAAATATAATGGTGTTGTTGTGTTTAGTCTTTAGAATATATGCCTGTGATTATAAAGTGTTCATACATTTAGAATTATTTTTGAGAGAGAAATAATTTTAATGTGAAAATTTTTTACTTTTCGTATATTCATCCGAGATATAAAAAGACAGAATGACACACATTTGGTACTGGCTTATAATTATCGATATAAATTTATATATATATATCTTTATATATATATATATATAATTATTTTGTTATTTATTTATTTATTTATTTGTTTATTCATTTATTTATTTATCCATCAACACGCAATATGCATATATCGTATGCTAATTCGTGTGCATTCGATGAGGTATATGCTTTTATTATCGCGTTAAACTAATGGCTTGCAAGGTATGAAACTGTGACCACAATCACAGGAATTGCCACCATGATATTAGCTTGGAGTCGTGTGCCTGTTGGCCAATGCATATAAATTTTTTCTTTGTTTCCTCAGAAAATCTTGTAACGATGTGTGTAACAGAGGATAGTTTAGCAATTCAGTTTAGCAATTTACCAACAAAGAAGTTAGAAGAAGAGAATACTAATATGTAGAATGACAGAAACGAAAAAGCTAAGGTTAAAGGGATCTTTTGAAGATGGTAGGCTACATGTCGAAAGGCATGATAACGTCCGGACGCAATCGAGATCTATGAATTAATATACTTCATTAAACAAAGGGGAATACCAATATCTACCTGACCATGATAAATGTTATGAAAGCTTATAGGGTTTTCATGGAAAAAGCGGATACGAAGAAGAGACCAATAAAACTGAGTCAAAACAACTTCGAAACTATCATGATAATTTTTAAATTCCCGTCAAGCAGGTAGGCTGAATAGCATCTCATTTAGAACAGATAGCTGTCATCATGACGTCAAAATGCCGTGTCGTACATTTATATATATATATATATATATATTATATAATAATATATATATGATGTGTGTGTGTGTGCGTTGCGTGCGTGCGTGCGTGGCGAAGCGGAGAGTGCGTAACGTATGCGTACGTACGTGCGTGTGTGTGTGTGTGTGTGTGTGTGTGTGTGGTGCGTGGCGTGTGCGCTGTGCGTGTGCGTGGTCGCGTGTGCGTGTGCGTCGTGCGTTCTGCGTTGTTTGTTTGTGTGCGCGCGCGCGTGTGTGTGTGTGTGTGTGTGTGTGCGTGTGTGTGTGTGTGTGTGCATGCGTGCGTACGTGCGTGTGGCGGATTGTAAAAGTGTATGGAAAAGCCTATTACGTACGAGCTAGGCTCAATTTGCTGTAGATTCTGAGCTCAGATTTGTTGCTCAGAATCATAATAAACCCTAGATAGAACAAGCAGAGCAGCAGTAGCAGCGACGGCAGCAGCGACGGCACCAGCGGCGGCAGCAGCGACGGCACCAGCAGTAGCAGTGGCGGCAGCAGCAGCGGCGGCAGCGACGGCAGCAGCGACGGTACGTAGCAGCAACGGCAGCAGCGGCGGCAGCACCAATAGCAGCAGCGGCGGCAGCAGCATCGCGTGCGTAACCTCCTATGTTCAGCGAGATTAATACATTATCGCTTGCATTAAATAATTACTATAGGGATTACGTTACCGCGAACAGCACCACGAACAGTTATATAGAGTATAACCGCTTTTACGGTTGTATTCCTTCTATATGGTGAATTTACTGCATCTTATATCAATTTTTTCTGTTTCATCTGATGAAAACAAAAAGTTGCGTCACATGCCTAACTTAATTATATCAATTTCGGCGCGTGTAATAATTAACTACACACGTATACATATTAAATGTTTAGTACATTTATTTTGTTTACAAAACATCTGTATCGGCTAAGAATTTAAGAACTTTGTTTCTTTTAGTAGTGTACTTCATGTATAGAAACGAAATGTTGGTTTTATGAGTACATACTTCATAAAACACATGGCGTACTTCTGCCTGATCGAGACATGGAGGCTCAGGTTGTGTTCAGTAGTAGGTGCCAGCCTATGATTGGTTCACGGTAATAGACTTACATAAAAACACGGTAAGAAAGAAGCTGATGCGCGCGCGCAAACAGAAGTATATAACGACATTCGTGATGACCTAGGCAATCTGGCCTGTTGTGACTTCGTAATCCGCTTACATTCTGGACAAGGATCCTACGCCGTGACACGATGCTGCGGTGCACCGTATTTACGTGGTATGCAATCACGGTTCTTCATCTTTCCTTGATAGACATTGCGCTCTGTACGATCAACAGATACGTGGCCATCGTGCATCCGTTACGCTACAACTAGCTGATGACTCCTGCACGCAGTGGTGTTCTCATAGCTTTATCGACGATGTACGCGCTTGTGATTGGGATCGCAGCAGCTATCCAAGTATCATATCACTGGGAACCGCCCTCGGTCAACATCGTTTACTTAGAACTCTCACCCGGATTCGTGTATGTCATTTCCAGTCACTATATTATTCTATTCATCGACTTCCGGTAATGGCGGCGTGGTGTTAGAACGTGTTTCACATCGGCTCCCCAAATATCATCAGAAAGTTAAACGAAAACTGTAAGGTGCTGAGCTAGTATGCAAAGAAAAACTCGCCCGAGAGACACGCCAACGATAAGAACCTATTTTGGAACGCGGGCGAGCTCTAGAAGTGCCGAAAGAATAAATATCTCCGGCGACGACGACCGACAAGCAAATCTCGTGCACAACATGGCCGAAAATAAGGCGAGCGAGGCTGAGAAAGAACCCACAATGATGGATATTGTCAACTTGATAAAAAGCTTAGACAGTAAAGCAAACATGCAGTCTAGACAACAAACTGACGGCGGGTTTCGATGGACTAAACGCCAATATATCGAAACTTACGGACAAAGTTGAGGCTCTAGAACTCGAAGTCGACTCTGTGAAAAAAATGCAAAAAGACGACGGCGACATGATACAAAAACTGAAGGAAGAAATTGAGGAACTCAAGTACTCACTGCTCTCGACTCAGACATATTTTAGTAAGTACCACTTGTTGCTTTACGGTGTGGACGGCCACGAGACTGATCCGAAAGATACGATATTTAGGGTCCGAAAATTTGCCAAAGAAAATCTCAAACTGGAAAGTGTTTTCGTCGATCGTATTGTAATCCGTAATGCCCATCGCCTCCAAAAGCGCTACGATGCCCTGGCGACTATAGTTATGGTTTTCCTACACTGGGGAGAACGGGAAGCTTTCTTGCGAGCCGGTCCTAATCTCAAGGGAACGAAGATGAGTGTGCGGACGGACCTGCCGCCTGAATTGAAAAGAAAGAGGGGGGAAACTCGCAAGCATCGCCTACGAAATCCGTCGGGACGAGCATATATATACGCGTATCAGGGAGAAAGGCGCAGACGTATGGTTAGAGACGAGGAAGAACGGCTCAGCCCCCCTGGAAGAAACGAATCATTGACCAGTAATATGTGCGTAATCATAAATAACAATGACTGTCCCCTGTATTTAGATTTAAATCGAGCATTAATGCATCTTATCTACATATATACCGTATACGTAACCTGTCATTGTGGCAGCTGTTGTCTACAATATATAGTTGTGTCCCTATTATAAATACATCGCAGCAAATACACCAAATCACAGATATATACAGTATATCAGTATAACAGTGCAGTGTGTTGGGTATATATATCTGTGCTTCAATCGACCAGTAGCCAGCGTACCCACCGACCAACCAAAAACAAAACACATAATAAGGCGTTTTCAGGTTTATATTCCACAACGTAGTCATGCAGTCAGACTACACGTGTTAGTATGGCTGTGTATAATGTTACACGACAGGAAACTCAGGAACGATAGCCAGGTAGGCTCAAGTAGACCTTCAGCTGTAAAAATGACGTTTTCCCAGATTCAAAACTCGTAAATCACTTTCGTGAAGCAATCGTGAATCACTTCGTGACTTTCGTCTGCGGTGTGCTCGTTTATGTGTATGGCTATTTAGAGACCAGATTACATGTATGTACGGCTTGTGCACGTATTTTTTATGTACAGTGTAATATGCGTATGATACAAAATGCACTATACTCGTAATGGGGAGCCGGTGGTTTACGTCAAACCACAAATTGCAATAATGTCCAAAACGGTAAATTTATGTCTGTTCTTTTTATGTTGCATGCTTGTGTTAGATATACACAGGAGTCCTGCCACGGTAGAACACCTGTTGATGGACCACAACAGGCTTGCATGTTCTGTCTGCCTTAATGTATGTCCTGTCTGTTCCAAATGTTACGCGTACTTGTTTCTAGATCCCCAAAACCAATGCAGCGCTCCTAAATGTCTTTCAACAATTTATACCTTTACTGTTTTCCACATACCCATGTCTATAGATAGTTCAAAACCTACTTTTTCAAATTTAAAATATAAACAAAATGCCTATAAGCATACAGACACTAAACTGTAGGGGACTTGGAGATCGGATCAAGCGTAGGAATTTTTTTTAACGCTTTCGTGAACAAAACATACATATCACTTGTTTACAAGACATACACATTGATCCTAAACTGGAAAACTGTAAAAGCAGAATGGGGCCTTGAATGTCTAATATGTCCCTATTCGTCACAGGCTAGGGGTGTTGCTATTCTATTTAATAATAGCTTTGAGTATGAAATACATAAAAGCAAAAAAGATAAAAATGGAAACTATATCATCCTTGATATCACCATAAATAACTCCTTGAGATTTACCTTAGCAAATCTATATGGTTCAAATGAAGATAAGCCTGATTTTTACACCAACATCATGAATATTGTCGAAGA